TCTTCGACTCTTTACTTTGACTTAATTTTATATCTTGTAAGTTACAAACCAAGTTAAGGATTCGAACTTTAATCTTTACTAGCAATTGATTCCCCTGCTTTGCATGGATTTATTAATTTGATAATCTCGGTTTGATCAATAAACTAGTAAAATTTGATTTGAGAAACATAGCGTACTTTACATTTGTATCACATGTATTTTCAAAAATTTATCATGTTAGTAATAGAAGTGATATAAATATGTCAATGTCTTCGGGCACAATTCTCCTTGTAGTTTGAAACAATCATTCAATTATTTTCTTTGAAACCTCATTTTATGACAGAATTTTTATCTTTTCAATAAGTAGTGAATATTGTAATAGAAGCAACTCATTTAACGGAATTTATCATTAATTCTAATATCCAACAAGATTGCCTTATTTCCTAGCAGGATACAAGTCCATAACATCATATAGATAGATGAGAAAAAGTGACTTGTACAGAAGTTACTAGTCTATCGCCTTTTGCTAATCAAACCCTTCCCCAAACGAAAATCTATGCATCAGGATAAATTCCAGCTACGTCCTAGGAAGCAGATAAACATGATATATTAACCCTATATCTAGGTTCTGCACGTACTAAATTAGATTCAATTAATGAAAGTCCTAAGCTAAACTTCAAGCAATTTTGGTGGGACACTATGTCATATGACATAAATTTTCATGTATAGCCAAAGAGAAAAATTTAGGGGCAAGGGTCCCCGCAACGAACCCCTATTTCTGTGTGATGCCTAATTAACATACGATTCCTCGTAAAGGCTACATAATTCATTTCATAAACCTGAGCCAGAACGTACTTGAAAGGACCGTAACTATTAATTGATAGTAGGTCCAAGAGTGTTACATAAAATGACGTCATCAAGTGATGAGTCTTTGATAGTTTTTGGGAGATTTTCTCTATTTATCGACTCTTAAATCGAGTGAAATTATTTGAAAATGAAGGAAATTATGAGATGATTAATAATGTGGCTTATCATCATAATTTTGTAGAAATTCAAAATACGTGAATAGGAGTCATGCATGTAGGTAAATCTAATGGGAAAAAATGTCGCATCTCAAAATGAAAAAAATCCACAGCAAAACTTAGAAAATAAGTTGGTCCATTAATTGTTAAACTAATGGAAGAAGAAGAACAACAAGGCCGTTGGCTGGATTAAGACTTACTCTCAAGGGGTTTGTAGTTCCTTTGATCATAAATTCGAATTTCCTGGTCATTTCCTAGAATTCATGCTGGCTCCAGAAAAAATCCTATTCCAATGAACTCATTTTGGCCTTGTAAATTATAAATTAAAATCCTCCGCCAAAAACTTAATGAAAAAAAAAATCTAAAGTCGAGTGATAATGTAGTATTTTCTCATTTGATTATTGACATATTTTTAGTTAGGCCACTCTTTAATGCAATCATTTTTTAACTTAGATTGAAATGATCGGTGTTCTAAACTTTGAAGGAAGATCATTCGTTTCTGAATGTAGATTTGGAGGCAGACGGCTCATTACAGCCTAGTGAAGCTAATATCATCGGGACATGTTAGATTGACCATCCCTAAGAATGTTAGTCTATCGTTAAAAGCTATAATTTGTTAATCGTTCTGGCTATCTACTTGCTATGTGGTCGATTTTCCTTGAACTTACCATAACAAAATTACAAGATCGTGCATGTTTTGTATCTTACCTTGTTAATGAACAATTATCGTAATAGTCGATGAAGGAAGAATGGGAAGGATCGAATTTGGTAGTGGTACTTGATTATTCGACAGTATAGTACATAGAGTGAATTATAGCATCAACACAAGTTCCAATATGATACGGGAGTATTAAGGTCTATGGAACGACTCTCAATCCCAATTCGGATTTCATCGATTCATCCGGCTCGATCAATACTCATGCAAGCAGAGGTGAATTTCAGCCGCGACTTGATTTGGTGGGTCCGATCGAATCGACTGCATCCGCTGGACTCTTCTTACGCGAGAGGGTGGGTCCCACAATCACCAAAATATCATGTCGTTTGTTTTGTCTTTTTTCTTCGTTTTTAGGCAAGGCAAGGCAAGGCAAGGCAAGGCAGCAACTAAGAAAGTATCACGCGGAGAACCAATTGAGGAAGATGGTGGAAACTTCATTAGCATCCCCCCATTGACTTTCTATTTATGAACAGACTATACTTAAAAAGATGAACAAGGGAAAAAGATTACTTTCTTTTGTGGGCTTGGAATATCTTATCTCTTCAATCTTTTTGGGATAATGACGCAAACAGTACTTGAATTTTGATCTAATGTGCAATATGATCCCTAAACTTTTAATTTGTTTAATGTAGTCCCTGAACTTTAGCTTAATGTTCAATGTGGTCCATGAACTTTTAATTTATTCAATGTGATCTCTGAACTTTTGGTACATGTTCAATGTAATCTCTGAACTATATAAAAATGTTCAATATAGTCCCTACACTTGAATTAATGGAAGGACTATATTGAACAATTTCATATAATTTAGGGATCAATTTGGTAGTGTTACTTGATTATTCGATAGTAAAGTACGTAGATTGAATTGTAACATCAAAACAAGTTACAATATGATCCGAGAGTATCGGGCTCTATGGAACGACTCTCAAACCCAATTCAAATTTCATCGATTCATCTGATTCGATCATCACTCATGCAAGCAGAGGTGAATTTGAGCCGCAACTTGATTCGATCGGTCCGATGGATTCAACCACATCCGCCGGACTCTTCTTATGCGGGAGGGTGGGTCCCGCAATCACCAAAATATCATATCGTGTGTTTTGTCTTTTTTCTTCTCTTTTTAGGCTAGGCAAGGCAAGGCAAGGCAACAACTAAGAAAGGATCATGCAAAGAACCGGTTGAGGTTGATGGTGGAAACTTCATTAGTATCCCCCCGTTGACTTTCTATCTACGGACAGACTATACTTAAAAAGATGAACACGGGAAAAAAGATTACTTCCTTTTGCGGGCTTGGAACATCTTATCTCTTCAATCTTTATTTTTCAACGAAAAGAAGTGATCGTTTCTATTTTGAATCGAACATGAGGATTCCTATGTTTGAACATTTTCGAATGTACACTAGCGGGTTCACTGTCAGACATTTGAAAATTCAGAACACAGAAATTTGTCTCTAAAACTTTTTGGGGCGGATAATTTAAGTATGCCGAGTCGTAGAAAGTTTTTGGTGGCGGATTAGTACTCACATGTAATTTTTATATTTAGTGTCTAACTATTTTGCCTCTAATGATGTACAATAGCAATGATGATTTTGCCTCTATAGCTTCTTTGAAGATCAAATGAATTCGGCTCCTATAGCCATTTTTCGTGGCAAATCGATTAGTTCCGATATCTTGTTTTAAAATACAAAACACATATGCCTTTGTTTATCAGACAAACATATCTGCCACGTATATATATATTTTTTCTGATAAATTGATTAGCGTATGGCTTTCAAAAGTGAGGCAAGAGACATCATTTAGTTTAGATTATTTGCAACCGTATATCATCCAAGATTCATATTAAAGAATTAAAATGCATGATAAAATTCTCACGTGTAAGAACAATTGTAAATATATATTAAAGAACAAACAAAAGAACATTTCTAAATAGAAGTCACAAAAAATCCCAAACTATGCCCATTATGACACATTAATTTACTTTGAACCTTTTTTACACATTTACTCTAAACTTTTTCTCTTGATATAAAAAACCCCAAACTCGTACCTATGTGATACAATTACCCTCTGTCAATGTTCCATTGGATGATTTTTCAGTTAAAACAACGTCATTTTTATTTTTTACTTAAGCCACGTGAAAGATAAGACTTCACCGAGTAAAGAAACTCATTGAGAACCACGATAACATGAGGCATTGGTAATTTAATCATTAATAATTTTAAATGGCGGTTTGTATTAAAAGATCCTTTTAATGCAGAATAAGTAGCCATCAAAATGATCTTATCTTATCTAGAGACTAATTCGTATTTGATTTTGATAATTTTTTTTTTTGGTAACCGAGGTGTCCGGGCCAGCTTGCGTGCACCTCGACTATTTGATAATGATTTTGATAATGTTCGTTTAGTGGCAATACTAATATTCACCAAAGCATAGTATTTGAGGCCATATGTTTCCTAATAAAAATTATTCACTGTATGGAGATGAATGGAACATATTGCGGGGGCATATAATAGTGTTCTCATATGATAGTTTGCCACTTTAACATACTGCTCTAATTCTCAAATGTGTTGTAGCGACCGTCCTACCACTTATTTTATGACCATTTTACATGCGATTACTTTGATTCATCTCAACGTTATAAATCAAGTTTACGACCTTTTTGTACTTTATTACAACAACACGTCGTGATACTATACGGCATACCTAAAGTACCATAAAAGTGGCCATGTGCGTTTGTCCCAATTAGACCCATTTTCCACTAGAAACCTTTTCACGTTCACTTACATCCAATCGTGCGTGTGCTTGCCGTCTTTGGATGGGGTAATTAGTTCAAGATTGCGTCAAAATTCCAAGTGGAAAACAAGGAATCGAATCATCAACCCCGTCGCATTTAAAAATGGGGGCAACAAGAAGGCTGGCTTGACGAGGGAGCTCTCTAATTAGTAAGACAAACACCAATTATGTGCTAGAAACTCGAGTGTTCATGACTTCATTTGGTGCTTTGTTTGGATAGGACTTTGCTTGAGTGGACGTTTTGCAATTGACTCGATTTTGTCGACCTAGATTAAGGATATTCTTGTTTGCCTAAAAGTTGACAACGACATGTCATGCATGACGTAGCGTGAAATGAAACATGGGCTTCGATCGAAGGAGACTTCGAATTGGATCCAATGTATGCATGTTAAGCTGAGGACAACTATAAAACGGTGTCGAGTTTGGCTCCTCGTCTCATCCCACATCCGAACACTCGGCGTAGTAGCAAAAATCACCTTGCATTTGGTGGAAAACAAGATGTCTTCCAAGCACTTGTTGCTCTTGATCCTCAGCTTGGTGGTTCTGGCCGCCCCAGCTCTAGCCGACTACGCCAAGCCAACTGATGTGCTTGGCAAGCGCAAGCGCCCAACGGGGTCGATTAACAACAGCCCGGACCACGGGCTCATGCTGCACAGCAGGCGTGGCGCGCCCTGGGGCTGATGTCTGAGCATTTCAACGGATTTTTCAGAGTCCGCCCCCGTCCACCGCCACCCCCCAAGTCCCCGCCACTCAAGTCCCCACCCCCTCCCCCGCGGTCCCCGTTCCCGCCTCCGCCCCCTCCCCCAAGGTCCCTACCCCTGCCCCCACCCCCTCCCCCGCCTGACGCCCCAGCGCCAACGCCCGAGCTTTTGGAGAAGCTGTTTCCAGGCCACCACCTGCTGGCCCATGCCCCCTTCACGCATCACGGTCACCACCCAGCTCACGTGCCGGTCCCGCACCACGGTTACCACCACAGAGTGCCCTCACATGCGCCGGCTCCCGCTCATCCCTACTAAGTTTTTGAACATTCGATGGACCATGGATATGCATGCTTTTCGTTAGAATAAGAGCCTAGTAGATGTTCTTATAATTCATCCATGCATTACTTGACTACATGGCTTGGCTTGTTGACCAGACATTACCATATTCTGGATTATGCAGAGCTTGTGTAGCTCCTATCTATATCCCGTTTCTTGATTACTATCATAGCTATGCACCGGTCTTTTAATTTTTGAGTCTCATTGAGCTCATCTATGCGTTCATATCATGCACTCTCACATTCACCTTAATGTTTTCGTGCGCGATCCTTCCTTTAGTAGCAGCTCGAGTTCTCGCAATGGATAAGTGTGCACAAGTGAAATGGTACATGCTGTTAAAGCATGGCGGCCATTCTAAACGTCGAGTGTTATCTCGGGATTGAAAAGTTTAAATTTGGGCGATATAAATATAAGATCAGGGGACGCAATAAACCGCAAGTACTTTAAGAAAATTATATCAAGTTGGTCCTATATATCGAACCTGATATATCCGGACTCATCAAGATATATTTCAAATAAAAAACATCCAAAGTAAGGTTTCTTATAGTGATTTTCGCACTTGTTGTCACACGGGGTGATTGTTGTTGTCTACAAAGAGATCATCTCATGCAAGTCGCGTGATCGATCACTAGTTAGATTCCTACCAACCAAGATTCGACTTTTCTCTTGATTTACTTTAAGAAAATATTCAATTAGTATTTGATTTTCAATCTCGTCTTGTCCTAAAGCCAGCAGCGGAGATTAATTAATTTGTCAGCGGATGCAATAAATTAAGTAAGGAGCAAGTTTACTAATGTGAATATCGAAGATAGATTGAATTTTTCGCTATGCAGAAGGAGAAAAATTAATTAAAAAAATGTAAAATCACAAGGACGACCATCTGAGCCTCAAAGCAAATGATCAAAACAAGATAACACGAATTAAAGCATTGAACGATATGTGGTCGGTTCTAACAATCTTCAAAATAACCTAATTGAGCTCTCGTTTCCTCCCTTTTGTTTTTAAAAATTTTTCAGAAGTATATCAATTTGGGGTTTTTTGTGGTTAAAAAATTAGTTTGAGGTAAATTTATCATAGATGTACCAGTTTTGAATTTTTTGTGATCAACAAATTAGTTCGGATTAAATTTGTTACAGATGTATCAGTTTGGGATTTTTTGTGGTATTAATCTTAAATTTTATGTATTTCTTTCAGATATAAGATGGGTTTAATGGATCTTTTGAGTTTGGGCCTCTTGATTAATGTTACAGATGGGCTTTTCAAATTGAAATGTAAGATTACGGTCAAATCGAGGAATTGACTTAGTGGGTCCAATATTCAACATTAAATGGGATCAAATTTGTCAATCGAACATTTTTATACATAATTATTCTTTGTTCAAAATGTATTTGATTGCGGTCGATTGACTCCACGCAAATACACTAAGCACCACAAATGCGAAATTACACCAAGCAACTAATCGATTGGACACTATTATATTGTACCAAATAATGTATAGGACATTAGAAATCCTATCCATATCATCCTATCTTCTTTTACCCGGCCAAATAATCCGGACAACCAAACATGTCCGAGAATGATTTGACATTGAATTCAAATAGCGACCGGTTTTGCTTCTCAAATTCTACGTGACTGAACAAAGCAATTTTATGACCAAAAAAAAAAGGAACAAAGCAATTTGCTTTCATGAGGAATGACATCACTGCCGAAAAGAAGAGTACAGAAAGGGGCTTGGCTACTGTCCTCGCCATGGCTACTAGCAATGAATTGAGATGCAACATTTCTTTCCCATAATCACGGCATGCTCTGTGGATGCGTTTCTTATTTTTACGTGCTGGTGCCGGTCTGCGCCAAAATTGAACGGATGGACTGAATTGACATAAATACAAAATTTTTATGACTCAAGTGACAAAAAAAAAGGTTTGGGATTGAATTGTCACAATTGTAATAGGTTTATGACTTTTTTGTTGACCGGTCTGTAATAAATGATAAAAGAATTTTTTTTTTCCCATAGATAAAGAAGTTGATGGTTTGAAAAAGAAAATCAAATGAACATTGGTAATCAACTCCAATAAGAGTCGATGACACAAAGCTAATTGGTAATTTAATAAAAGGAAATGTTAGTAATCACCCTAATTAAGATTAGTAAGCTTTTACGGAGAAAAATAGGTGATTAAAATATTAATAGAAATAGTTTCTCACTCAGAACTAGATTACCATGTTAGACACACATGCATAATTTGTATTGGAACAAGTCTACATGTTAAATATTACTATAAATTGCTGCAACAGAACAGCTTATAGCTACTATACAAAACTGAAGGATAGTACAAGTGCCTTCCGCTTACATCCACAAGAAGACGCCGTCCCTAAATCTAAAATGAGCCGGCCATTCTTGTGTTTCATTACGCGGTCTCTTCCCTCTGCTCTGTCCCTTGCTTGATATTACCAATGTCGCATGCCCCTTAAACCCCATTTCCCTCTCGTGTCCTCAGCCAAAACACAATCTCTCTCTCTCTCTCTCTGGGTTTGGTGTTTGTCTGTGAAGTCCTTTTCTTGATCATGATGGAGAGAAGGGTAACGAACAGGGACTTTGCAAGAGATCACAACAAACTAAGCTCGTCCATGGGCCTGCAACAGAAACTAACCGAGAGCAGGCGACTGGCTGCGGTCGCCAAGCCTGAGCCAGCCCCCGACCTCACGGACTTCATGAACGACATGTTCTTCGGCACTGCCAGCACTGAGACGAAGGCGTATGATTTGAGCGGGAACCTGGGGAAAGATCAAGATTATCAGGAGGATGATTTTGACAGCAGCACCAGGAGCAACAGCAGCAGGTTGACTCAGGCATGGCTAGAAGAGGCCAGGCAGATGGTGGCCACTTCGCCGGGGAGGTGCGAGTCGCCCTCTCGGCTCGTGGGGTCGCCGAGGTTTGCTGCGGCAGCTCAGGGCAGGCTCTCTCCGTCTTCCAAAATTGATAGAAGAGACCCCCTCTCTAGATCTGCTAGGAGGTACGTGTGTTTGAAACTTTGAAAAATGATAAACCCTCCATTTGGCATGAGGATATGTGAGACCTCAACACAAGTAAGCTTCGTAGTTTGGACATCCAATTGAGTTTCTAAAAATTTGATTGTGAGTATTTTTACTTTTAATGGTACTCAATTTATAAATAATGGTTACAAATATGATAAGTTGGCAATTGTGATTCATGGTACTGTATATCCAAGGGTCAATTAAGGATTGAAAAATTCAATTGTTCCACAAACCAAATGAGAAGGATGATTATTGTTGGGTAAATGTCAGTAAATGAAAGTTTACTCCAAGATAGCCAGGTTACTCTGCAAACAAAAATTCAGTAAGAAGAATTCTAAAGTAAAAAAAAAAATTAATTTATGAAACGAATTGACAGACTTATGTCTTGTCTGGATATTTTGAATTTGTCTACTTGACTCTACTCTCAAATTACAGAGATACGTTTATATTTTAAAATGAGTAATGTTATGTATAATAAAAATCGATATATATATATATATATATATAGAGAGAGAGAGAGAGAGAGAGAGAGAGAGAGAGAGAGAGAGAGAGAGAGAGAGAGAGAGAGAGAGAGAGAGAGAGAGAGAGAGAGAGAGAGAGAGAGAGAGAGAGAATTTGTTTGCACGTTCTTATGATAAATTTCTAAAAAAAAATTGGGTCTGCACATTTTTAATGTCTATCAATTTATAAATTGATTTCATAATATCCGTTTTGTGATTCTATAAATGGTCAATAATATTTATTACCTTTAATTCGTTTTATGTGATGCTTGAACTATTTCTAAATATTCAATATATTTTTTTTGCGAAACGTGTAATCAAACCCCTAAACTATTGCAACATGTCCAAAGTTCCTATATTACTGTGAAGTTGGTGGCGAAAGTCCCGACATTTTCAACATTAACATTCTCGGCTCTCATTATTCAACAATTTTTTTTGTACTATTGGTTCTTTAATTTTTCTAAATGTCACACTTCAATTTTTAATTCTTAATAAATGTTTATGACTACCATTTAGCAAAGTATAATGTTGAACTAACTCTCTACTTGTAGAATGTTGCTAAGCTATCGATATGTAAACGGAATTTGATGTAATAGTAAGACGTAAACTTTATTTTGAATGTCAAAAGAATAATTTTATTATATTATTACGAGGTCGCATGTTGCGGTACTTCTTACATGACGGAGGGAGCGGTTAACTTAACTGTCAAACTGTCAACTGTCAAGCCTCGACACTGTGATCATCGAGTCCGACTGATCCTCGCTCTCCTCTTCGAGCAGGAACAGAGCCGTGGACAGCTTCAGCGGCGAAATTCTCTCCAAATCCGTCAGGCACGGCCGGAACCGATCGGAGACCCTTGATACTCCGCCGGACTCTCCTACGGAGCCGTCCTCGCCCGCCGAATCCGTCCACAAGTGGTTCTCCAACATCCTCCAACCCCCCAACGCGAACGACTCATCTCAATCGCGACACTCTGTCAGCTCTGACCTGCCGCCGCCTCAGCTTCTTCCGCTGAGGCAGTCGACGCACCGGAGGTCCAGATTTCAGAGCGACCCCTCTGCGGCCCAGCCGCAGGCTATTCCCGCCCCTCCTCGGCGCTTCCGAACCCCAGTGCTGTCGCAGGACGTGCAGCTGCTGTCTCCGCCGAAGAACTTGGTTGAGTCTGCTCACCGGAGGTCGATTTCTTCCTCGACGTGCTCGGTGCCGGATGATCGGGTCCTGTCGCCTCCGAGGAGCCTCGTGGAGTCAGCTCACCGGAGGTCGGTGTCGTCGTCCACTTGTTCCCTCGATAAGATCGCGCCGAAGGCGATCGGTAATGGGCGGTTGAAGGAAGGCAATGGAGCAAGGAAAGTTGGTGTTAATGGATTTCTCAAGGAGCAGAGAAGCAAGATTGGGAAGATCTTCAATGGTGAGATCAATGCCAGGGCCAAGATTGTTCTCTCGGGACCTTCAAACAGTTAAGTGTCTTTCTATGCTTTTTTCTCTTTTTTCCCGTTTTTCCCCTATGGTTCCATGACCGATGGTTTTCGTGGATAAAGATTTTTCCCGTGAATAGCGTTTTCTTGGCAATACTTTTCTTAGTCCGATTCTAGAACTCACTGATCTATAGGAAGTTCCATCTACTGATGCGAGATCACGATGCTAATTGATTGTCTAACACTAATGTTAACACTCCACTTGAGAGGAGCTGGACTTTGACATCACATTGTATTACACTAAGCACTCGGGTGATGTTATACTACTTAATACTGCAGATGTTAGTTATTGGAGGATGGGTGCTTACTTCCGTTAACAATGATTGAAGACAAGCACAAACTTGTGTGAGCATGATCAATCACGTTTGGTTTGGTCACTCCCGGACCGACCAGGCTTGTCATTTTAGAACTTTGCTTAGATTTGAATTGTGCTTGTATGAAATCGTCTGGGGCTGCAGGTACAAGTTCTATGATAGCTGCAATATGCTATGCATGGCTTTTGGAGAATAGGATGAACAAGAAGGGAGAAGGCAATGGAGGAGGGTCCATTGCGGTGCCCGTGATGAACGTTAGGAGAGCGAGGATGTGGAAGCAACGTCAGGCTGCTTGGCTCTTTCACCGTGTTGGTCTTGATGCCACCTCCTTGCTTTTTGCTGACGAGGTACTTGCTTTTCCATTGCACCCCATGTTTGCTCCAACGGAAAAAAAAATGGTCTAATTACCAAAGGAACGTTAGTGTTTACAGTAAATCCTTCCCTGGAGTTTTGTGCTTACTCAGATGCTTTCTTTGGGGCGACTCTTCTGTTTCCTGTGGCTCCCAAGCACATTGCTAGATAGACAAAACATAGAACAAATAGATAACGAGAAACTTTTACTAGCCCAATGCAAGTAATGTGGTTGGAGAATATATGAATTCTCTTTCAAGCAAAGAAGTTAGTCACTGTGTAAAAGTGGTTCTGGTTATTGCTGAGTTTATTATTGTCTTTAGATAGGGTGACTTTGCTTGGAATTTCGACATGGCCAATTATGATAAATTCTACATCAGAACCTGTATGCTCAATATCCGGCCTATACCATGTCCATCTGCTTTGTGGATTGCTTAGACGAAGTAAGATGTTGTTTCTTCCACTTGGTTTAGGTGGATTTGGAAAGTCTAATGATGGCTGGAAAATTAAGCATCCTTGTGGTTGGGCAAGATGTCCTCAAAACGAATGGTGAGGTCAGTGCAAATCAATCACTGTAAATCATCTTTAGGCTCCAAATAATTGCCATTTTCATTCATTGCACTTCAGAAGATGAAGATATCTGTATTTTACTCACTCTCTAAGTCATTGAATGTCTAGGTTGGATCTCAATGCACAGTTCTTACAGATAATTACTGTGAAGAAGCTTACGATCTGCTCGAAACTGAAGTGCTCAAGAAACTTTTGGCGAGTAAACTTTAGCCCGTTTCTGTAGAAAGCTGTGTAATCTTTGTACAAAAGTCACGGCTTAAAGCTTTTCTACAGAACTCTTACCATCTTCCCTCTTACAGCTGGCGGGAATACTGCTAGACACTCAAAACCTAAATGCAACCGGCAAATTGTCTACTACAAGAGATGCTGAAGCAGTACAGCTGCTACTAGTTGGCTCAGCCCCCAATTACAGAAATACTCTCTTTGATCAACGTAAGCCATATGTACTATCAGATTTTTGAGTGTCTATGAAATGTGTTCACATACTTGGTTTCATGGCCCCTCATCAGTGATGCAGGATCAACAAGATAATACCTTTACTGAGGCCTTGCAGCAAAACTACGGGAAGCCTCCTAATGGGAGTAAGGAATATATACTCATAGAGTCTTTGATCTGATTTACGGTGGTAAATGCAATTTTGCACGAAATTAGCACCAAAATGATCTTTGCTTTTATGGTAAAACACCACAGGTAGTTCCATTACTGGATCTAAGATGGACCATAGCGTTCCTGAAAGAAAGTCTACCTCTGTCCATACCAAAGAAGACATTAAGAAAGGTCCGGAAACAAATCAGCATGATGCTAAAACTGCAAAAACTGACAGGTTATCCCCAAAACAAGGTGAGACTTTACATAATTTTGTTTTCACGTCGAGAAAGCAGAATTTCTGTTGGCATCTCGTAATCTTCGGCTGTTTGGTGCATGGTCCTCAAATAGTACCAGTCCATTATTCCAAAGTTTGTGATAGGTATCGTCCGATTCGTGCAGATAAACAGAGTCCAAATCCTGTACAACCTCCAAAAAAAGCATCCGATGCTGGTCGAGGAAAGAATACGTTCTTCCTGGCCAGGTGGTTTGGTTTTGGTTCAAAATGAATGGCCGGTGAAGTATGATTGTTTCAAGGAACTCTTACTGAATTGGAAGTCAAGATCGGTCTCCCATATTGCTGATGAGCAAAATGGGTAAAAAAGTTGGTCCCTCCAAAATATTCCTTTATTCTTGCTTTAGGTCTCATTATGGCATGAAAGCGTACTTATATAAGAGATTTTTTTTTTGTTTTTTTACATAAGAGATTGAAGAAGTGGTAAAGGAGCTTTTTCGAAGACTAAAGACCACTGTGGTATGCCATCATCTGTAACATCAGTTATTCCTCCTAATGTAGCAGTCTTCTGTTTGCCATTGGAAACAGAACTTTTCCTTTGTGGCTGTTGCTTTGTCGTCACTTCTTTGAGTAGCTCCTGTTGATCTCAGCTCATTGTGATGTTCTTGTCTGTGGAAGATGAGATCATACCAGATGAACATTTGTTTGCGGATCAACCGCCATAATTCCTGAGAAATATATTGAAATCCGGTGCTTCGCCTTGCTGTCTGTTGCTACAGATCGGGAAGATGTATATTTACAGAGTATACCTTTATCAATTTCTTTAAAACACATGAAGCTACATTACTGTAGTTTTTTTTAACTGAGAGTGTTTGTTTCATTTCCAACATTGTTTTTCATTTTTTTGCTTTGCACATGCTATCGGGAAAAAATTGCCCCTTTTCCACCCATCCTCAATCGTCTTTATTCTTCCCGTCACGGCAGGCTATAGAAAACCCATCATGCTATTGACATTTATTGATATTTACTTATGTTAGCTGTAAGTTGTAACTACTCACCGGTCTTCACTCCATCTAGGCATTCTCATTCTGAAAGTGACTTCATCTTTGACTGTATACATCGTCTGTTTCTGCCCATAAAATGGGCAGCTGATCCTTTCGGAGCTTGGATAAGGAAGTGACTGCTCTATTTTATTCTGATTTAGGAGAAGACTTTAAGCCTTTGAGATGATGCCGGTCAAAAAGTTTAAGCCTAGATCATTACAAGTATCAATCATTATGGCGGTCAATGTTGTGTACAAGGCTTCGCCAACTAAGTTGGCACTATTGACAGAGCCAAAGGAAATTCAACAAAAAGATTAAGAAAAATAAAAGATACCAGCGAAGTTTTTTATGGACGAAAATGGTGTCAAATTTGTGTTGACGGCGGGGTGGTTTGTTCTGTTAGAAGTCATAATTTCCTTTTGCTTCTAATTATCTTTTTTTTGACCGGCTAGGACTTAAATTCCATTTGGAGTACATTTCTCCCCATGTTCTGTCCTTGAATGCTTATCTGATTAACCAACTTCCATTGTTGTTAATTAACGAAAGAAAGCAGAAGTAGTTATACCTGTGTCGTGTATTCCTAATGCCGCGTTAAGGTAATCCTAACCAGTAAAACTTTACATGCTGAAAAAACCTAACCAAGAAATTAGATAGATCATATACAGATGCGTGTAGATGGCCTCAGCAGAGTGCAAAAACAGGGAATGAAATGAAAAAGGCAGCACATCATAGGAAGAGCACATGTGCATGCTCTTTGCAACGCTTTAGTCTGTTTCGTCATCATCTAGAGGAGAGAAGCAACTTGCTTTGCCCAGTCACATGCATTAGCATTGTTTTCCAGACACAGACATTCAGTAAGTTATTGACCTATTTCCAAATCTTGTGTATAAAAAATATATATGGTTGCAGAAGGGCATACATATATTGGGAGACAGAATCTTTTTGGAACCCAAAAAGAAAAAGAAAATATTTGCTCACTTTTCAAGATCAGATCAAGAGAGAAAGAGAGGGGGATAGGCTCCTCTAGATGGGGCATTATTGGGCATGTAATTGATCCAATCTTTCTTGTCCAATTATGCCCACTTGTTCCTCCCCAGCTGTAAGTTACCTCCAAGCTCTCTTCTCTTGGCCCCGCCACATCTAATCCTCTCTCTCTCTTTCTCTCTCTCTCTCTATCAATCCAATCTGTATTCTCACCACTCCATGTTGCTGGTCCATAACATGCCTGAAGACCCATACAAATTCTTGGCAAATCTAGCTTTTTTCTGGGGACCTTGACAATATACTCAGGTTTGGCCTAATATGATTCCTCTACTCAACCTTCCAAGCATAGAGAAACAAGCAAAACTCTGTGGACCCACTTGCAGAAATCCCATCCACAGAACCCGAGCTCTCCGTTTGCGATGACAATGGCATTGATGCGTACGGCGAAGATGCCGAGGACACAGATATTGATGACAAAATCGGCTTGAATATGAACAATGCATGCCTTAGACCAGGACTAAAAAGCCAGTCATGGACATCCCAATAGACTTCCACTCTAAGCTTGTTAACATAGACGGACTCGTTACCTCTGAATTTCCACTGGAGGTGTTTCACATGGATTGCCAACTGCCCGTCGATTCTTATCTCCATTTCTGGTTCGATCCCATTTAGCGAACTGCCATTGCTGATGCTCCCGCCACCGAAATTCCTGTTCTTACATTCGATCGATATCTCATGGCATCCATCCTTCTCATAAAACTTAGCCCTTGTCGAGAACTTCTTTTTACCGAATATATGCTCTTTCTTCGAAACTAAAATCGGATCGATAAGAGCCGGCCTACAACCAGTCTTCCTATAAGCATCCTTCTTCAGATCACCAACAAGCAGAACAACTTCCTCATCGCAGACTACGGCGACATAGTACTCCGAGTTCGGCTCAGTTTCGCCATTAAATTTCGCTGCTTTGAGGTCCCAGAAAATGTCGACAACTTTTCCCTCAACCGTGAAGTGCTTAGATCCTTGTTTCCTCCAAAAGTACCACGGTTTGAGCTCCACTTTGCAGGTGTACTGGTTTTCTCCTTCGGGGCCTTCGACTGATACAGAGAGGCCATGAAGCATCAAATTCTTGCACCATGTGATGGTGATCAATCTGCACTGATCAGCAATCTTTGTACGGTAAACGGACATGAAAACGCTCTGGCCGGACCTTGTCACGGCAGCCTGATCATCACTCAGCTTCTCACCGGATGAAAAGCAAGCGGGAATCCCAATCTGGTCTTGCATTCTTTTGCTTGAATCTTGATTGATCAACTTGATTATGGACAAAGGCCGGCTAAAATCAAGAAGGAGCAGCAGCTCAAGAGATGAGAAAATATGGGTGCGACAGGCAGGATGAAAGGCCTATGAATATCAGCATAGAGAGAGAGAGAGAGAGAGAGAGAGAGAGATCTTACTTGCTAAAATATATTCAAATCAGAGATGCTGCCAGAGGTGTTCTTCTTGGCAGCACTTACTTACAGAAAGTTAAAAACAAAAGATTTTTGTTTGTCCAAACTGTCATAGAGATGGCAGTGACTGAGAGTTAGTGAAGACGCCCTTTTTATATCCTTCAATGATTTGTTGCCTTGCCTGATTTCCTCTCAACTGGACTTTACATCTCTCTGATATTGTCTTCCTATTTAATTGATTTTCTTTTTTCTAACTAATTAAGCTAGAGACAGCTTTTGTGAAACCAAGGTGTTTTCTTTTGCTTCTGTAACACTTAAATTACTCTTTCCCATGCATGTTGAAAAAGCAGAGACGCCATTTTTTCACCGGATTTAAAGTACAGTTTATTGCGTTTAAAAAGAAAAACCAAATACAACTCTGCTAAGCATGCCAGGCACATGATATGTTTGGAGAAAAAAATTAACAAATATGACCAGTCAACACCTAGTTTTAAGAAAAAAAAAGTTAGAGGGAAAGGCGGAGAGAGAAACTCTGTTACTTCAACGTGGGTCTTCATAATTTTCTATGATTTGAGTTGAACACCAACTACAACAACGTGGAAATGCACTTTTAACCTTTTTTTCTTCGAAAACGGTGTCTGAGCGAGGAATTTAGGCCCTAGTTAATAGCAGTAGTAGTGGCAGAAAGTGAGAAGTCTGCCTTCTATGGTTCTGCAGGCCATAGATTGGGCCCAAATCTCAGTCTTTCTCTGCTTCTCACAGCTCAGAGATAAAGATGGGGCAAGTGATTAGCAGACGAAACTCACCACTCCATGTTGAATAAGGCAGGTTGTGAAGGTCCCATCTGGCAATTATTTAAAAAGTTCCATCGTGGGACTGAACAAAAAAGATGGCATCTTTAAAGAGTCTCTGTTTTCTTTTTCGTCTCGGCCAGTTTTCAATTTGTAGTTTCTGAGATAAGTATTTCCCAGATAACTTAATCAAGAGCATTTTCCAAACAGAAATTGCACGCCCTTCTCAATACAAGAATGAACTTTGCAATCAGAAGCCAATGATTGGTGCTCCAAGACCAGGCATTTCATGCACATCTTTAATGATGATGAAGTATAGAATCTAATTACATGCAGAGAATCATGCCCTTTTCTTCAATGTGGTATCAAGAAAAGAGAGAAATTGAGGGTATATACAATGATAAAATGATATATGTGATTATGAGAGGGGGGGAGGAGAAGAAGTGGGCATGTTGGATCTCTATTATTTAACCAGTTGTCACAGATTACCCAACTAAGAAACAGTTGTATCAGATTGGGTGAGAGAAAAGGTGATTTCTTGCACCTTATTTGATTAGTTTGACATGGAAAGATTTGACTTCATTTATTGCCAAAGTAGAATCCTATGCGACTTTTCTTGGACTTCGGTTGTTACGTGTAAGTCCTATCATGAGATTATTTTAAAAAAAGGCAGCAACTTTAATTATCTTTTCATAATAACAATTGTATAAGAAAGACCTTTTCCCTTCTTTATCAAGAAAATCAAGAAATCGCGAAGATGAAATTAGTCGCATACCGAAAGGAAAGAAAACCTTTTCTTTACGAGACGATAAAGAGCGGGGTGTTTTATTGGGCCTCTGAATTTGATGTACTTTTACGACCTCTCGGGAAAAAAAAAAAAAACTTTGACGTTATTACAGTTGAGCTGTGAGTTGTCTGAAATCCTTTTTGGTGGGGGAACTCTCAACTGTCGTAGAAGAACTCGGGCGGATAAAAAACCGCAAGGTTCTTGATCTTGCCACTGTTGTTGATCTGGAAAGTTCCTAACTTTGCAAAGTAGCATTGTGACTTTCCTCTCGCTGGTAGCTCAGAGAGTCGAAGTACTGGAACTTTGAGTTCGAGCTCAAGCCATTATGTCATTGAGAGTTTAACGTATGTTTTCGATTTGAAACATTCAACAGTGTTTGCGTGCCTATTATCTAGTCTTTGGGAAGTGTTATTGGCTGAAAGCCACGCATGATGTTTCAGCTTTCTGCTCTAATTGGAGCAACAATACTTGCCAGGAAACATTGAAAAGAAACTAAACTATCAACGTGTACTGGATAGAGCAAAAAAGCTGCACATGTTATTAATTTGGATTGGATAACATAGTCTTGCTCGTGTGGTTGATTAGTTGATGTTAATGTTGTCATGCATCTCAATGAAAAATTAAACATCCCGGTGATATTTGGTCATCTCGATGGGGATCTATGTTGGTCCCTCAGTACCTAGAGATTGTCAGTTGACCGGCCGAATAAGCATTTATTATTCGACCCATTGGAGACTCTTTCACCATAATTTCTTTGTGTAATTTGCAAAAGATTTTCACCAACTTCTTTTCCTTGAATTGGTTGATCGATTCAGCAAATCATTTTTTGGATAAGAGGACCATATGGGATGGGAAACCCACCCTCAGGTTCTAGCTATGCAGTAATGCAATTCCTGCATCAAACTTGAGAAGCCCGAACAAAGTGCGTAGCTTATAATGCTATGTGAAAAACGTTCGTGATTTTACTTATAAGCATCTTGTAAGGCATCAACACACAGAATGAAAGGCACTGGGATAAGTTAACGCCAGGACACTACGGCTGTTCTTTTGAGTTAATGCTACTTATGATCAACTCCATGAAGTTGCTTGTTTTTGTACCCTGAGCAGGAAATGCCCAGGAAAGAAGAGAAAATGTGAATCAGCCTAAATGGTTGCTGACTCGCTATGGCACCTATGATGGTGGTCTGAAAGAAATTTTGCAAGTAAGGAGGATAGTGGCAGACATGGGCGTTATAGCTAGGTTCCTTTAGAAGGCATGACGATCTATCTTGATTCCTTGGATTCTCTCTCCATGTCATTGGTAGGCTCTGCTTATAATTTGGAGAAGCAAGCTAGAGCACTCCTGTGCCGATACTAAATTTGCAACCTTTCCGAGTCGCAGAGCAATGCCAGGTGGAAAATCGACAGCACGTGCAGACAAAGCTGGCTGCTAGTGAAGTTTCCGAGAGAATCCTTTGGGACACCAAATTCGTCTTCGGTGTGTTCTTGCGACCTTTTTTAACCATTGTTGTTATCTATTATACAACCTCTAGCCATTTCTCATACTTGGGACAACATAAACATCAAGAGTACTGCCCTGCAAAAAGGGAATCGGTTTAAAATTCTTTTTCTCATGATCGGTGATTGCTTCATCAACTGATTTTGATTATGCATTGCACATGTTCCTCCCTTTTGTGGTTCCTTTCTGATGGATTCAGGCTCGTGTTGGAGTTTCACCAGACACCATATTCAGCTAGATTCACTGTAGGATGTTCCTCTTCTGGAGGAATCATCGAAGCTGACTTCCAGATACTCTTGCAAAGATTTTTACCTGAACCAGTGAGTGAAGGATTTGACACTTCCTAGGGCACAAGGGAATTTTCATGCTGTCACACATCACGTATGTGCCCGTAATTTCTAACTGTGAATCGGCTTTAGTAACCTCTGTTTCTTTGCCATGTCCTTTGAAGCACGAAAAAACAATGAATTCCCAAGATATCCAATCACAGCCATGTTATACCAAACTGAAGTTGATTTTGTAAGTGATGCATAATTAAATGCCCAATGTGTAGTACTGGGCCACATCCAAGATTTAGAAAGCGTTCTACTTTCAAATTCTGCTGATCCTTAACATTAATACTACACAATTTGTATCCGTGGTAGTTGATTAGAGGGAAAGACGCTCTGATACTGAGTTTATGCTAGATATCGAGATGTTTTGCTCAATCTCCTTCTGAAATTTGATTAGGAGATTCATTGCAGTGCTAGTCAGGGTTTTGTTTCTGATTGTCTGATGATAACTCTGCTTAAAGAAAAGCTAATCTTATGTGAACATACTCATGTATGTCCTATCTCGAGTATTCTGCAAGCAGGGAGCGATATGCCCCATGTGAAGGTAATGCAAAGAATTAGAATAAGCTCTTGAATAATGTACAGGCATGGACGTTCCAACTTCGGTCTTTCAATCGAACTGTCACAAAGTTCTACTAATCAGCATGATCCTCCATATGTACTGATGAAGCGGTAGTCATGACTACTTGTTTTTATGGCAGAATTTCTTGTCTTTCTGCTTTGCAAGTAAGATGCCTTTGATATGGCAATTTCTGGTGCTAATGAAACCCTCAACAGACGCTTCAGGCTAGTATGACACGGCTGAGGTGGGCTTTAAGCCCCACAAGCCAACTTAATCTACACAGAGTAGGTTTCCTTGTGCTTGCTGTCATCAAGGACATGATATCCTCCTTTATTCAGCAGAGTCGCTTCTTGGTTCTATGTAAGTATCTCGATCCGTATCAGGTGAATTTTGATCCACGCATTTTTGCGGCGGCAGTTTTTTGTTACTGTGGTCACACAGAGACCCTTCTTGGTGCTTGTTGGTTGTGTTGCTAAGGAAAACTTGCAGACACCCAGGGTTTTCTTGACATGCTTATTGACATGTCATCCTCTTCGGTCTATACCGAAAGTCACTCGTTGCTTGGTGATGCTTGGGAAGCATCTGTCTCACCATCTGAGCGTGGCCTTCTTTCCAGAATCTGCAGAATTCTAATGGCAAATCTTGGTTTTTAGAACTGTCGAGGCTTCAGTCACCCTAGCTAATCACAAGGCAATTGCCCGAGAGGAACTTGGTGAGCCTCAGTGAGCTCGTGAAGCAGCCAACGTGTGTACCAGAGTTGAATTACGTGGCGCCAATGGGAGGCTCAATCGGTTTGGGCTTCTTGTGGGGCACCAGGGCACCATCATCAGTCGTTTCACACTGGCTCCATGAACCACAAAAAAAAGCGGTAGATGGGTGATCTGCTGCACAATATGAGCCTCAAAAGTGAGCGTTCCATTCCATAAGCCAAGAGAAATCAACATATAAAGATCAAGTCTAAAAAATTCTCTTTGGTTACAATCTTGGGCGCCTAGCTATGGAAAATCAGGTCCAAGATTGGCCATGATGGTTTCTCGAAGACCCTGAAAATAAGGGGAAAAGAAAATCTTGCTCACTTGGTATAATTCACCTTTGCAAATCATTGAATATTACTGGTCGAATCAAATAAAATTGATATAAGGGTTAATAGCACGAAAAACTCCAAACTGGTAAATTTATCACAAACTAATTTTTTGACCACAAAAAATCCTAAACCGTTATATCTATGATAAATTTACCCCAAACTAATTTTCTGACCATCAAAAACCCTGAACCAGTACACTTGTGATAAATTTACCCAATGTTAAATTAAATTAATATCACGAAAAATCACAAGTCGGTACACTCGTGACAAACGAATGATGTACCTATCAACTGCCATGTGTCGTCCAACTTCGAAATTTGACATAGGGTAAATTAATGAAGGATAAATTGGGGTTTTTCGTTATATTAACCGTCGATGTAAAAAAAAAACCGAGCTATGAATATTTGTCTGCGAAGAGAGGGGGGAGGGGTGGGCAAAGCGGGGCAGTGCACACGTGTCGCATTTCCAGCCAGGTTGCACGGAAACCGGGTGCAACCTGCTCAACCCAATCCCTCCCCGCGTTCTCCCCAGAGAAGGAAGCGTGAGGAATGGATGGCCCTCTTTGATTTTGCAGAGATAAACCTTCTCCTTCTCTATCCTCGCTCACTCTCCTCTCTCTCTCTCTCTCTCTCGCTTCTTCAGCCCATTTTCAAGCTCTCTGCAGTTCGCAGAGCCCGACAATGGCGATCTCTACCTCGGCCTCGTCGAAGCTCATCTACCCGTGCCCCGCCTCCTCCTCCTCCTCCTCCTCCGCCGCCGCCGCTCCGGCCCGCGCTCTCCCCTCCACCGCCGCCGCCGCGGCCATCTTCCGCGCCAAGCTCGCGCCGGCCCGGCTCTCCTCCTCCTTCGTCGCCCCGTTCGCCGCCCCCGCCTCCTCCTCCTCCTCCGCCGCGCGCCTCCGCCGCCGCGGCTCCGGCGCCTTCACGGTCCGCGCGGCCCGCGGGAAGTTCGAGCGGAAGAAGCCCCACGTCAACATCGGCACCATCGGGCACGTCGATCACGGGAAGACCACGCTCACCGCTGCTCTGACCATGGCCTTGGCGGCCATGGGGAACAGCGCGCCCAAGAAGTACGACGAAATCGACGCCGCTCCCGAGGAGCGCGCCAGAGGTATCAATCTTTCGTTGTCGTCGTGGGGTTGTTGGAATTATCAGTTTATGCGGGTCTCTCGGATTTTCACCAAAAGAATTTTTTTTTTCTTGCGAATTGCTTCTGTGAGGGTGTGAAATTGTATGGACTTGTCTTTAGTGGTTAAACATTGTGATTGCAGTTTAGTAATTATCTTGCGTATTGTGTGTTAGAGGTTTAGTTTGAGGGGGATGATTGTAACTGAAGTTGCTTAAGAAAACTAGGTAAAAATAATTGGGGTCGTTGTTTACATAGTGGTCAGGTGATGTCGAGACTGTGTTTAAAAGTGCGATAGATTGTTTCTCATTGAAAAGAGAAAGTATATTACTTGATTATTGAGTTTGATGTTCGAGAGATGAAACGGTTGAAACTTTGTCTGTGGAATAGGTATCACCATCAACACCGCCACTGTGGAATACGAGACTGAGAACCGCCACTACGCCCACGTCGACTGCCCCGGACATGCTGACTACGTGAAGAACATGATCACTGGTGCTGCCCAGATGGACGGTGCTATTCTTGTCGTTTCGGGTGCCGATGGCCCGATGCCACAGACCAAGGAGCACATACTGTTGGCTAAGCAAGTTGGTGTGCCCAACATGGTGGTTTTCTTGAACAAGCAGGACCAGGTTGATGACGAGGAGCTTTTGCAGCTTGTAGAGTTGGAAGTCAGGGAGTTGCTCTCTTCCTATGAATTTCCTGGTGATGATATCCCCATCATCTCTGGTTCTGCCTTGTTAGCTTTGGAGGCTTTGATGGCAAATCCCAGCATCAAACGCGGGGAGAACCAATGGGTCGACAAAATCTATGAACTGATGGATTCTGTGGATAGTTACATCCCCATTCCGCAAAGGCAGACTGATCTCCCCTTTTTGCTGGCCATTGAAGATGTGTTCTCGATCACTGGTCGTGGTACCGTGGCTACTGGTCGTGTTGAGAGAGGTACAATCAGAGTCGGAGAAACAGTGGACCTTGTTGGTTTGAGAGAGACGAGGAATACAACAGTTACTGGAGTAGAAATGTTCCAGAAGACGCTTGATGAGGCAATGGCTGGGGATAATGTGGGTTTGTTGCTCAGAGGTATTCAGAAGATCGATATCCAAAGAGGGATGGTTTTGGCCAAGCCCGGAACTATTACCCCGCACACAAAGTTTGAGGCCATAGTGTACGTGTTGAAGAAGGAGGAGGGTGGTAGGCACTCGCCTTTCTTCGCCGGCTACCGGCCCCAATTCTACATGAGGACTACTGATGTCACCGGGAAGGTGACTTCAATTATGAACGATAAAGATGAGGAGTCCAAGATGGTTATGCCCGGCGACCGTGTTAAGATGGTGGTCGAGCTAATTATGCCCGTGGCTTGTGAGCAGGGAATGAGGTTTGCTATCAGAGAAGGTGGAAAGACAGTGGGAGCGGGCGTTATTCAGGCCATCATTGAGTGACACTGGAGTATGCTTTGGCTTCGCTGCTTAGTTCTTGACTCTTTAAGTTGATTCAATCAGTATACCGTCAAGTTGTGGAACCAATGAGAATATGAATGTCATATATTTTGCGGTTTTGCCCCATCTTTGCTTTGCGAGAAGGTGTTGTAGTGTAGTTGGACGATTAGTTTTCTGATAATCCAGAACTTATTGCTTTCTGCTGTGTCTGTCATCTTAGCGGCCGCTGAGTTTCTTTGGCCATTACGAACTATTCCTTGTTTGTGGAGTAGATTCTTGTCGTTTCACCTTGGCCCATTCTTGTCATCAGTTGCTACTGTCCTCGCCTTTTTAGCTGAAGATGCCCGGTGACGATTGTTCACGATATTGAATGCCTATGTTCATAGGTTCTGGTGCATCATGCATCTTCATGGAGGATATGGATCCTTTTTCTATTATCTTAGCAAACTGCAAGCTCTTATGAAATTAGATCAGTGCCCTGAATCCTTGGTTTTATGTGTTCGGGATTGGGAATTCTCAGTGTTTGCTGTTACAAGGATGGGCTCTTGCTACAAGGAATATATCGACCTTAAGCTCCTACATACATAGCATTCGATGGTCAAGGCAAAACCCACCGGTCCCTTTGTAATTTGCTTAATTTTTGTTGAATCCTTTGAAAGCAAATGTTACACATACTTCGATCACGGATTGTTATGTAGACAAGTGACTAATCTAATATTTGGTTGGAGTAATACCTGGCCTTGGAGAGAGTTCCTCCATAGCACAACAAAGTTAAAATTTTTAACTGGAGAATGGAATTTAGTTTAGAATAGCTTTGGAGCTGGAAAAGTTTTCAAGAGGCTTTTCACACAAATGAAATCTATATACTTCCTTTTTGCTGAAGAAATAAGTTACACTGCCTGATTAAAATTCAATAACGTGTGCCATTTCCAATTAGCACAAGTAGTTGTCCCGAGATACATAATTCATAAGCTACTTTCAACTATCAAGCACCAGGATCAGCAACCACAGCTCGTCACTTGGTAAAGAATGCGCAATCGCTAGCACCCGACAATAAAGGGGGGATAACCCACGAGAAGAGGAGATCTTAGAAAATGGTTGAGGCTATCAAATCTTGAACGAATGCTGCTCTCTGCCTTCTTGTTCCATAGTCTTGTCCCTCACCTTCGTCCGATGAAGCGCTGCACGGAGAGCATCAGTTAGTAACTTTGGTTTTATTCTGGGAAATGCAGATGGAATACATTATCATTAACAGCGCTATTGTCAGTCTGTGCCCAGATTATCCTTGTCAGCCAATGATCTCTTACTAAAGATTAAGCGAGAGAACAAGATGATGGGCTCAGTCCTTAGTTCACATGGAAAATCCCTTTTATTTACACCACACCAATGCTTCCACAATACTAGGGATTGAGCAACAAAGATAAGGAAGTTTCGGTTAACCATTAAAAAGAAAAGGATGCATCAGATGCTCTGAGGCGCTGGTGATTTCGATTGTGCTAAAAATCAACCTAAACGAGATTTGCCTTTTGGAATTATGCCTATTTCTCTAAGCTTCCACTTCCCGGTTCTAACTATACAAAGGCTGCAAATTACGAATTGACGAGAACTTTGGTTCATATGCTTATTTAAATTCCCAAGATGCATCCTACAATCATCGAGCGAAAATACGTCAGCAAGTCCAATCAATTGTCGTACACCAAAAGAAATAGCCAAGCACCATTTCTGCGTTCTGATAATACGAAAATACCGATTCTAAGGTATCAATTTTGATCATGAAAAGAGCCTTCGACGAACTTTTTAAATCCATGATTATACTCTTTTACCCTGTCACAAGTGTGTTTATCACATGCCTACGCAGAACAGACAGCTCACAGTATTCTGTGGAAAACCGTACCTTTTTGCATCAGAAGCAGTTGGTGAATCCATAGAAGAATCATCCTCTTGTTGAGCTTGATCGGGATCTGAGAATGGTAAATTGTGTAGGAAAGGTGTGAGGAGCGGATCAGGTGTCATCTCAAATGCATTTGCCTTTACATGCGCTGAAGACCCAAGAAATGAGCTAAGCTCCCTGCTGAGAGATGCTGAGCTAGCAGTCCAGAATCCAGACTTATTGGATCGTTTCCTCCTCTGCAGAGTCCACATCAATACATTACTTGATAAAACTTAAGAGGATCAGAGTACTTGAGTACGAAGTGCATGCACCGAATATTATAATAAGAAGATGTGCAGAAGATAAGATGATACCTTTAATGAACTAGTATGATCTTCTATGAAATGCCTGGTGGCATCTTTTCCTAAATTTGCCGCACAGAGAGGGCAGACCTGAAATAGCAGGCATTGAAGCAATGTGTCAAAATGCAAATTCTAATTACATTTGGACTGTATGAAGCACCATAACTTGATGAATTTCTATGTAGCTACTTCAGAACTGCCAAGTTTGCATGTATGTATTGTTTCGAATCAAGGTAAGATGAACAACGCATATGGCAGACCCGCAAATTCAGAGTAGCAAAAAGAAAGAGGAAGTACCGCATTTTTCAAGTCGAAGCAGTGTTCATTCTGCAAGTGTTTGCAGAGAATATTTACATCAATTTCCACGTAACAGAAGGGGCAGGGAAAGAAAGCCCTGAAGTCATCATCTCCTTCTGAATCATCCAATACTATGTGATTATCTGTCACAAAAAGATGAACAGAAAAACAAGAATTGAATGTTATATGAATTAAGTATAGAAGGGAGACACCAATGGATCGCAAAACAGACGAATTCATCAGGATTTTGAAAGATAAAATAAAGAGAAATCATAACTTGGAAAAGGACTGCTGTATTTAGAGCAAATGAGGGGCGAATCGATTACTCTCGATGCTTTATCATAAATTAGATTCGCATGTTTTTCACCTAACCTAGTAATTTTAGGAGCTTTCAAGACTTCCAACAACCTCAGATAAAGACCTTGCTGTACAAGGACTAATTATAGTCATAACGACCTTGCTTTACACGAATGAGATAAACAGGTACTCAGAAAGCTTTTAAAGACTCTCGAGTACCCATGAGAAGGAATTAATCTTAGACTTTCCAATCAACGGCAATTAATGCAAAGTTAAAGCATACAAGAGCACTTGCGTTAGACTAATTAGACCAAGCCAACTGGACTCAAAACCCACAGTTGAGCAGGCCAATCGAGAACACACTCCTTGTCCTAGAACGGTTTCAAAACCATCCGATTGAAGAAAAATCTCTACTAATCCAATCTGTCTCAACATTGCAGCCCAAAACCAAAAAAAGCTGCAAGATTTTGCTATCTTGAAGGAGCTCGCTATCTGCAAATTGATTGCATCCAAACAATTCCCAAGACCTCCAGCTTCAGAAAAGAACTAAACTACTCAGACAAAGTAAACCTTCTTGAAGAAGCAAGAAAAGATAAAAACAAAAAATTAAACGGAACCAAAACAACCCAGAAGCTTCTTGCTTATTTCTTTCTTTATCCTTCTGCTTTTTTTTAGAACATATAAAGGAAACCCAGAAGGCAGATAAGCGAGCTCAGCAAAGGAGTACCATAACGAAGCCCAGAAGCATGGATGGCAGAGAGGCGGTGCTTGGAGGAGCGAACGCGCGACGACCAGAAGTCAACGTCCATATCTTCAGCTCTCTCCGGCTAAATGCTGCCGGGCCTCGTCTCGCCGGGACACGCCGCCGGATTCCGGCCAGGCGGGGAAATGGGTCTTCGGTGATCCGGGGAGGGAGAGAGAGAAAGGGACGAGAGAAGGATAAAGGCGCTGCCTTTCGATTATCGATCAGCTGAGGAACGAGCGTGTGTGAGTGGTGTCACTCCCCCCCCCCCCCCCCCCTCGTTATATTTTGCTCGCTCTCCTTCTTTGCAAGAGCGAGGAAGGAAGGATGGCTTCTTCTCTGAAGCTCACAGGCTGAATAGGAAGCCGACACGTGGCGCGGTGGCAAAACGCTCCTTGTTTCTTTCTTTTTTCCTGTGAATCTTGACCCGTAGATCGACCAAGTTCTACTTATCCTACCAACTTTTGTCTTCTTCTCCTCCTCCTCCTTCTTCTCCAAGGTAAAGTCAAGCAAATGTCCTGCTGAATTGCTTTGGAGCTGGAGATCATTTGCATATTTTCAAGAGTTTGTGTGGTTCGGAGCAAAAGTTGATAGCCGAAAGCTTCTGATTATTATGTGTGCAATCGTGCGTGTGCGTGTGCGTGTTGTTTTTTTGTTTTAAATTTGGAAGAGCTTAAAAAGTAGGCTTTGCTGATTCTGATTTGCATTTTGACCGGTTGGAACTTTTGGCCAGTGGAGGTGAATCAGCAACTGTTCTTTGTTCATGCAGCTTTCTGATGAGGGAGAGATAGCTTCTCGACGAAGTTCTCTTTGGGCCCATCTTTCCATGTCGATGGGGTCTCTTTCCGGCCAATTTTTTTCTTGAAAGAAAAAGGCAGAAAACAAGAAGAACATCATCCACCATAAAGATAAAAAAAGGCATGACTTTTTTGTCACATGACGGCATTGGGTGTTTGGGTGGTTTGGTGTCCATCTATTGTGCTCAGCAGCAATGCCAATATATGATAAGATTGATTTACTTAAATGTGTTTATGAAATGAACCGGGGCATTTAGTAATGAGCAAAGTTTAGGACTCGATGATAGCCTGCAATATCGATTGATGAACCGGCTTTGTAAATTGGTCTTTGTAACTTAGCATTTCTTGTCGATAGAAAAAGAATTAGAATTTCTTGAAGTTTTAGCGAGTGTGTCTAACATGCGTCTGTATATAGGTAGGCTATTGGATTAGATGGCGATTCGATAGTTTAAACTTTAAATTGGCTTAGTTCAATAACTCGGATACATGGAGTGTAGAGATGTGACGCATTTGATATGATGGATTTATAGAGATGACAATAATGGGCGTGTCATTAGAAGATATTGTATAGTTCCCCTGGCATGAGTGAAACGACTTGAAATGGATTTGGCACCACATAGAAATCATTTGGAACTTTAGCATAGTGAAAAGTCCTAATCTTATGTTTGGTTCATCATTAGAATAACGGAACGGGCATTCCTTCTACTAAAGTAATGGCCATTCCCTAGCTTGCCCATTCCATTCCAAGTCTTGCCAAATATATATTCAATGACAACGATTAATAATAACTAACCATAAATTATTAAATAAATTAGTAAATACATATTACAAATTAAAAATTATTGTCGATGCAAATTAAATAATAAATTTTTGAATTAAAGCATGCTCATAGTTGTGGTTATTATTGGCTATGTCTTTATTTTTAGATGATCTTCTATTGTAAATTTATCTGATTAAATACAATTAGTAAGATAATGTTCTATAATCGATTTGTTGTATTTTAGAATAATGTCCAGCAAATAGTCATTTATAGCAATTTGATAACATAGTGATGCAGTTTAAATTTATTGAAACCTCCATTCCGTCCAATTTCATTTCGTTTCATATCTTTCATTTTTTACAATAAGCACGAAAGACTCGTTATTTTATTTCATTCTTACTTAAATCAAACAAAAAAATTAAGGTCCACGTTCCATGCCATTCCATTCCATTCCATGTTGTCGTTCCATTTCAATGGTGGACTAAGAAATCAAGATCGGGAGGGGGGAGACAAACATTTTTTTTTCATGTAATTGTCATGCACAACATTTCTTTTTTAGGAAAATTCTTCTTTATTTTTGCCCGTATAATATTGTATAATTTTTTGGAGCCGCCCACCATTAGCCGCCTCCTAAATTCCGTACTGAAAATTAGCCTAAAAAGGTCAAGTGGGCATTAATGAAGGAGTTTGGATAATAAAAATGAAGAAAACAATACGGGTAAGGAAGGAAGAGGGTGACAAAAGAGACAATCTAACCGAGAAAAAAAGGCACGCGGTTAACACGTTGGACAAAAAGTTATATATATTAAGAAATAATTGCACAAATGATCATTAAAGCTTGGTCGAATATACAATGTCGTTCCTGAATTTTTAATTTGTTTAATATGATATATGAACTTTGGTCTAATATTTAATACAGTCCTTGAACCTTTCATAAATGTTTAATCTAGTCCATATATTATATAAAAATATTCAACGTGAACCTTTCATTAATTCGAGTTCAAGAACAATATTGAACATTTTCATATAGTTTAATGACTAAATCAAACATTTACCAAAAATTCAAAAACTATCTTGAACAAATTAAAGGTTTAGGGATGACATTGCATATTGTGCTAAAGTTCAAGGGCTACATTGAACAAATTAAAAGTTTATGGACGAAATTGCACATTTGACTAAAGTTCAATGAACATTTATGTCATTTTCTCTATATATTAATAGTGCATGACATCTAGTAAAGTATCAAAGAAACCTAATACGGGAATTAATTATCATTATTATCATCATATCTACGAAGACCCAAATAAGAAAAGATGGTAATGGGAACAACACTGTTTATTCTCTAATCAACAATAATCGATTACATTTTAGGCAAATATGGGTCAAATGGGCCATTTTGAGGTGGCCTTCTTAAAGAGAAAGCTTTTCAAAGGAAACACGGAGGCAATATGAATGTGACACACCATACGTACCTTTCAGCTAGACATTGACATGTCCATTTTTTTAGATCGATTAGAAAGACACTTGTGTTCCACCACCCGAAACATCTAAGTTGTCCACTATAATGTCAATTACAGTTGTTTAGATTATTTGAAAATCAAAGTGGGCCTCTGCCAAATAGATTGAGCCTAGTGATTGGATAAGCCTGAAAAAGGCCCATTTTGAGGAGGGACGGGCATAGCTCCATCACTTAAGGAAGCAGCCTTTCCTTTCATCTATCAAGGCAACACAGAGAATGTATGTAGATCAACAAGAATATAGCCCTCTCGAGACCGGGCCCAAAACCAAGGCCCCTACCGTCAAATCAACTTGATAGAATGTGTTCATCATAAAAATCATAATAGTACGATTGGTCCACAGATCCCATCAATGGAATGTGTGAAGGGCTCATCGATCACGACATTTCAATGGGCACAGCTTAGGTAAAGTTCATGATACGTAGCAATGTGCGATTAACTCGAAACACAAATCAGAGTCAAGTAGGATCCATCGACCAAAGGATAGCTGTAGCAAAACGGTCGGACAGTAGTTACGAATCATCCCTAGAGTAGTGTGAGAGTCAAAATGCAATTAGGGATTCTTGCAGAGGAAGATCGGGATGCATAATGGAATGACCCATTAAAGGTACAAAATGAGTTAAAGTAAGGACATCCCAACACGTCACTTAGCACATTCAACATGGACATACGCTATGAGCAAGAATCGCACAGCATCGAGAGACAAAAAATCACGAAGAGCTCGGCGGCACCTAATTTTTTACCAGGGATTGACCGAAATTCAACCTCATCAGAATTTCGATCAAAGCCAGGTTACAATGGGATAGGTGTTTTCATGGCACTCAATGATGCGATGGAGTAGAGTTTGCTATTTTAAAGATATTGCAAAGCAAGTCAGAGAGTTCTTTGCCCAATCAGTACAGCATCGTATGTATGAAACGATGTTACGCAGTAAAGAACTCAGTGGCCGGAAAAAGGTCTTCGGCGACGCAGCATACTGAATGGAACAAATACCGTGTACAATAGTATAACTCAGTTGGCTGGCATGGACATGTATCATCATGCAAGTGTTTCTCTGTGAAGAAATTTGGCGGGCCTGCTAACGTTAGTTACGTTTACTTCTCTCTCTCGAAAGCTGTTCGAGTCGATCTTTTTAAATCTCATGATACCTATTAAAATAGTGGCTTCTGCTGAGGAATTTCCAGTTCTTGTTATCAGTAAAAGTTGTGAGTATAGTTAGGAGCTAGCTCAGGTTTGTGTCCAGGATAAAGAGAAAAAGCTTCGGTTTAAGCATGACAATGGATGTATTTGTTCTTTTTCCTTGATATAGAGCAAAGAACAAAGATTTTCCATGAGCTTCTTTGATGTATATAATAGATGAAACGGCAGCTTTTATAGTTAGTCCATCATGTATTCTAGTTTGGAAAAATCGCATGCTTTTCTACAAATTCTTGTCCAATTTGCTTTTTCACTGATGGTCCAGAGAGAGATGAGCTCGTATTCTGCTCTCTGGAATTGTATGGCAAGATGCATGCAATATCAAATCTTTCTTGCTCATTCTCGATTGTTCAGAGAGATATTGCACTGCAATACCCTAATATCGCCTTTTAAATCGAAAGTTGTGGTCTCTGTACATCACAGTCAAAAGAACCAGAAACTCGCAATTATATAGTGCAATACAATCGTGATTATTGAACTTCAGGAAAGCGAAATGCAACAACCTACTCGAGATAGGCAAGATCACACAAACAAAAGAGAAATAATTATGGACATAGTTTAGCTTATTATTTGATAAAGATTGATAGTTCAAAATCTGCTGATCATTGTTTGGCACAAACTAAGAGCTCATAAAATTCCGCTTCACCCTCTACATATCACTATTTACCGAGAATTCGGTGGTAGCAAGTACAAAGCATTATTTACATAAGTTTCAATACTCACACAGCTACTGAGCATCCATAACTCCTTGCATGCTCACTATCCTATATCAAATCACTATGGTACTGGAGTAACTACTCTACCCAGAAATCACTCTTCATCTCTTCTTCAAGCTAATCCTACCAAAATAAGGCAAATAAATGAAAAGAAAACAGAAAACAAAAGGAGAAAAAAGTAAACGAAGTGGAAACTACAAAAACCAACACATTGTAGTACTAGTGGGTTCGGACCAGGAAAGCTCAATTCCCCCTTGCATGGATTGATTGTTATCTCCAAGCACACTTCATGACAAT